TGACACTCATGCTCTTCTTTGTTTCTTGAGTATATGAGAATGTCATCAATGAAGACGATGATGAATTTGTCTAAATAGGGCTTGCATATTCGATTCATCAAGTCCATGAATACCGCAGGGGCGTTTGTCAAACCGAAAGGCATGACCACAAACTCGTAGTGCCCATAATGAGTTCTAAACGCCGTCTTTGGGACATCTTCTTCACGAACCCGCAACTGGTGGTAGCCTGAACGTAGGTCGATCTTTGAGAAATAACTTGCTCCTTGTAGTTGATCGAATAAGTCGTCTATTCGAGGTAGTGGTATCTATTCTTTATTTTCGCCTTATTCAACTCCCTATAGTCGATGCACATGCGCATCGATCCATCTTTCTTTTTCACAAATAACACTGGTGCTCCCCGTGGGGACGAACTCGGTCGGATGAACCCTTTATCCAACAATTCCTTGATTTGGGTCATCAGTTTCTGCATTTCCAATGGTGCTAGTCGGTAAGGTGACTTAGCAATCGGTGTGGCTCCGGGTGTTAATTCAATCCTAAACTCGACTTGTCTCTCAGGAGGTACCCCTGGTAGGTCATCAGGAAACACATCAGGGAATTCCCAAACCACTGGGACCTCTTCTATAGCTCCCTTTTCCATTTTAGCATTTATGACATATGCTAAGTACGTCTCACATCCTTTACGAATACATCTCCTAGCTTTGATCACAGATATGAGGTTAACGTGATTGCCAGGCCGACTACCGTACACAGTGATCTCATTCCCTTCTTTATTTCTCACTCGAATTAGTTTCTTGAAGCAAATAATGTGAGCCTGATGTTTAGACAACCAGTCCATTCCTATGACAACATCGAATTCTCTAATGCCTATAGGCAATAAGTGGACCTCAAAATCTTGACCCTCAATTTCTATTGTGTAGTTATCAAAACACTCTCGCACCATGGTGATGTTACCATCAGCAGTTTCGACCTCTAAGTTTTGACTAAGTAACATAGGTGACCTTCCCAATCGTATGCAAAACTTAGTGGAGACAAAAGATTTATTTGCCCCCGAATCAATTAACACTCTTGCAGGTATTTTGTTGACTAGAAATGTACCTGTCACTACATCGGGTGTGTCCTTTGCTTCTTCTGCAGTCATCTGAAAGACTCGACCCTTCAGTTTTGGCGCATCCGACTTCTTTCCGCTTGATCCTCCGAGCAACCTCGGTGGCTCCGTGTTTTTCTTGGGGCATTCCCTTTGGCGATGTCCGGGATCACCACACGAGTAGCAGATAGGTCTAGCCTTGCATTCTTTTGACATGTGCCCAGGCTTTCCACAAGTAAAGCAAACTCCCTTGCCATACCTGCATTCACCTAGATGGTTCCTTCCACATGTGGCGCAAGCAGTTATTGCCCCATTCTTTCTCCCAAAGACTTGAGTTCTCTTGAATTTTCCTGGGCCAACTCGATTGATCTTTCTCTTCCTAGATGCATCCGGGACATAACTGTCCTTTTCAGCAAGGGTGGCCAGTTCTACCGCATTTTGAAAGGTAGTAGGTTTTGACATTCCAACCAGCCTCCTAAGTTCCCTTTTTAGTCCGTCAACAAACCGATTCACTTTCCTCATCTCGGTACTCACCTGGTGCTCTGCAAATCGTGACTTCTCGATAAAGATCTCCACATATTTCTCTACAGTCATGTTTCCCTGTTCCAATTGTAGGAACTCTCTTTCTAGTATTCTCAACTGGAGTGGTGAGAAGAACTTTTCGCTCATTAACTCCTTGAATTTCTCCCAAGTGAGGGATGCAGTCCCAGATAGCCCCCTAGTGGCTCTAACTGATTTCCACCATTGCAAGGCATTCGATTTGAACTTGGTTGATGCGAACTGCACCATATCATTTTTTGCACAATGACACGTCAGAAAACAACTCTCCATCTCGTCGAGCCAGTTCATAGCTGCTAGTGGTCCATTTTTGCCTTCGAAAACCGATGGACTGGTGCTAGTGAAAGATTTGTAACTACATCCCCTATCACTAGGTTTCTTAACCTCATTATGATCGAAGAGTGCCTCCCCATTTGACTCCTCATGATTGTGAGATTCATTCTTAGATGATTCTTTATCTTCATAGGTTTTACTTCTCGGAGGTTCGGTATGCTTCAAATGAGCATCAACCATCTTAAGCGTTGCAGTTTGAATGCACTCAAGCATTCCAGGAAAAGCAGCGTGCATACAACGTTCCATCTCCTTGGCGATGTTCACTTCTGGGTGTGCGAGCTGAACCGTTGGTCTATTGGGACCGCTCCGGCTTTCAGTTGGAGTTGAAGTCACACCCTCGACTCGATTATCTTCACGACCATTAACATTCATCGACCTTGTCACTCTCTTCGACATTCTATAGTAATGAACATTTCGACCATTAACATGCTTATGTATATTATTTTATTATATATATATATATACATATATTGTTATGCAAAGAAAGTAAAATCTCCGTCTTTTTCTTCCTTGCTAAGTGGTTGGGACTCGTCTTATTACTAACCAACCCATCATTAGATGCACAAGACATACATATAATTAATACTTGTAACTTCATCAACCAATTTTGCCAAATAGTATCATTTATGCAAGCATCATATAACAGTTTCCAAATAATTTAGACCAAGTACCGCACACGAGTAATAAGGTGCAATATACTTCTCATTCATCCTTGTAAAGTTCGTAGTCCTAATTTAAGATCTGTTTAGTTCTAACTGTGATAGATGCTTTTCTTGCAGTTAGATCTTCTACAATTATCAATCAAAACTTAGGTTGGTAATTATGCATACATTTATTACCACTTAATACACTTCTAGATGCTTTGGCCAAATATAAAAAAAAATTTCACAACATAATGTGACGTAAGGTCACGTACCATGCATTACTTGTGAGAGAGAAGGTCGTTACAAAATTCCTATTACATCACAAAAATTTGGGATATGTTGAACAACTAGAACATGTCTCCAAAATGTCAACTATCAAAAGTATCCCAAATGTACTAGATCAGCTAGGAAGTAATAGCTAAATATAGGAAATGAACTTTTAGATCTCTCTCTCGTAGACAAACCTCACCCCTAAGGCATATCCGGGAGGTATGGGTCCCTCATCCATTGCTCAAAAGTTACTGACGGCTGGGAGCGCCACAGAATGCTAACTCTTGGACCCCTTTTGTAGCACTGGACCCAGGCGGTAAGGTACCCTTTTACAACACCTACATAATTTGCGGTTGCTCTTTTATAGAATCGAGACCTATCTCCAATACGCCTAGTCCAAGTCCTAGCGGCTATTCTCCGCTCTTGCGCTAGTTGCAACCTCAATATGTGTCGTTCTTCCCGCAAGTTATCCCTTTCAGTCAGTGCCTTAAGGTGTGCCCTTTGCAGATTATCAAGCCATCCTCTCATCTTCTCATTTTCTCTTAAGGATCGGGACAATCTATCATTTGACTCATCAATTGTTCCTTGAAGGGCCACTATCTTTTCTTCCAAATTTGAGCGTGTAGGAGAGCTTGGCGTGTACTCTTCGGATGGCTCATACGAGGTTTCCTCTTGGATCGACCCCTGTGATAGCTTACCCCGCAGGGGTATTGGGTTGTCACTCGGAATGCCTCGTCCCGAAGGGTGTCCCACGCTATGGCTCTCACTAGAACGATGACTACCCACCGATTCGCTGTTTGGGCCTAGCCCATAAGGTGTCCTCCGCCCTCCAGGCCCACGCCCGCGTCCTCTCCCCCGGTTGATGGCCCTAGTGTGTATCGTGTGCACCATTTTCCTACAGACCATAAGGAAAATACTACGTTACCTTTTGATAAAATATCAAACTTCCTTGTGATGCAAAAATGTAATACCCCAAATTCTCATGTTTTAGAATCCTCATAGAGTTTAAGCTTAGGCTAAAAGAAGTCTTAACTTATTTCTCTTAAACTAAAAGCTCTGATACCAACTTGTCACGCCCCGATATTTTTTTTTATTTTTTTTTCTTTCGAGTGCCGTGACGTCTATCCTTACAACTATAGTCTCGAACAAAATACGAACTTAAATTTCAAACGCACATAATATGTTTAACAGAATTCGTACATAATTGCGGAAGCTTAAAATACTTTAACATAATCCATGCTAATTAAAATATCTAATCAAGCATAATTCAAAACATAGTGTCGTCATTCCTCGTTCAGCTCGTCTACTGACCGTTGATACCTGAGATACATACATGTATAGTATAAGCTAAAAGCTTAGTGAATACAATATGGTTTCATGATCACATGCACACATAAAACAATGTTTAGCGTATTTTAATTATTATCTTCCAAGTGAGGCCTCGGCTCTTCACTTTTCTTTGCGTATGTGGCGTATWCTATGGACGAGGACTCCAAGACCTCGGAATTGCAAGCCCTCCTTTCATGTCCAACCCACCCGGTGCGGTGGACGAATCTGGCCTAATCATACTATTTGCATATCATTTACTTGCAAAACTCACTCATTAATGCAAATCTCATCGTGACATGCAACATACATTTCATGCAAGTGACAACATAAATCACATATGCATCATCGTCATTTTTCACATTACACACATACTTGAATATCATATTGATAATAACAGGTCATCGTACTCTTTCTCATCAACATCAACTTTCATATCATGCATATATTTAAATATCATGCACGCCAATATAATCAAGTTATCATCACATGCATATAAACATACCATGTGTATATCATGGATAACATACTTTTGTAATAATCATGTATATATCCCATAAAAATCGCATAATGTACTCACCTTGAATTGTTAACGCTCGATAGGTCCTTTTCTTAAAAAGGGCAACCTACATGATAATTTATACCATGATATTCCATTAACGTCTTACTTTCTCAAAAAGTCAACAAAAGTCAACTATTGTAATTCGGCCCCAACCTAAAGTCAAACTTCGTATCCGAGCATCTTAATATGCCTCAAACAACTCTATTTGACCCATCATTAACATCCACATGGGTCAGACGTGTCAAAAGTCAACCCTTGGTGAACTCAGTCAACTCCAAGGAAGACCAGAGCCTCTGTGGCAACCAGAGCCTGTGGTTGTATTGACCAGAGCCTCTGTGGGTTACCAGAGCTGGTTGTATTGACCAGAGCCTCTGTGGGCACATCGACCAGAGCCTCTATGGGCGTAATGACCAGAGCCTCTGTGGGCGTATTGACCAGAGCCCCTCTCGTTGCAACCATACTTAGAAAATAATTCATCCTTAAGGACCAGAGCCCCTCTGGTCTCTCTTCCAGAGCCTCTGGCTTCACGACCAGAGCCTCTGGTTGGACTAATACTTAGAAAATAATTCAACCAGGACCAGAGCCCTTCTGGTCCTACACGGACACTTAAAAGCTAAGATTTGAGATCTAAGGCTACTAAGGCCTTACAGAGGACCTAACACGAAGCTAACCAAATAAGGAACATGGACGATAGTTGAGTGTTTTACCTCTAAACGCAGATTTCGGATGGGGACTTTGAGCTCCGATTTCTCTCCCGATACTTAATGAAATCTTAAGAAGTTTGAATGCAAACTGTAGAGCAAAGTGAAGCCTATTTATATGCTGAGATTTTTGTCGCAATAGTTGAATAATCGGACCAATGGGGAGCTTCAAAGGAGAGGCCGGTATCGTATCTCTGACTTGCAGATATTTACAAAACAGGTCATTCTGTTGGACCTGCTCGTCTCTGACCCGACAGGGGTCGTTTTCACACCTCTGCGTTGCAGGTCTGAAGCGTAGGTACAAAACAGACCCTTCTGCATTTACAGGTCTGGTGCAAAATTTTACAGAACAGGTCCTTCTGATTTGGACCTGCTTACCTTTGACCCAACCCCCTTAACTTCCGCGAATTTACAACTTTCACCCATGTCCTGATATTCTCTTTCACTTATGGTCCGAACTTTAAACTTATTTTGAGATTTCGATAACTATTTCCTCAACTAACTACATAAATATTTTAACACCTCAGACGAATTTAATAAATGAAAATTATCTATTTAAAGACCCGTACGATATATATATATATATATTTAAATTTTTTGGGTTTTACAATGATAACAACACATCCAACAATATTGAAAAAGAAATATGTAATAACAAATCATATTTTTTTAATGAATATAATTTCTACATATCTTTTAAAATCTTTGAATTCTTCTTCAACGCTCACCTTCTTCAACCCTCATTAAAGGATTTTATATGATTTCATTTTATTTATTATTGAAACTTTAAAAAACAAATTTCATTAAGAAATAAAAGAAAGTAAATGGAAGAGCAAATCAAGAGTTGGAGGTTAAACTTGGGTATACAAAATTACAAAAATAACCCGTGTTAATTCTAAGTATTAGAAGGTGCCACCTCATTACCTTTGGTTTCTTCTTTAATATATATATATATATATATATATATATATATATTATTTCCCCACAATCTAAAATGCTCAATATCCCACTTTTTCCCATAATCCTGTATATGTCAAAATCAGATGAAAATACAATTACGTTCCTATAAAAATCATAAGAATTTATTTTTCTATGTTTTTATATTGATTGAAATGAATTATGAAACTTATAAAAGCTCATAATAACATTATGCTCGGTAATGAAGCTAAAAAGTTCGTAAAAAAGTTAATATTTATATTTGATAGAGTTAAATGTATAAATGAAAAATCAGATGTAACAACTTTAGTAAAGTATAACTTGACTTTGTATATGTTTGGCTTACAAGGTCGATATTGATTATTTTGTATTCATAATATTTTTATAGCTCATCATATTTCATTGTTTTATCCAAAATTTACATTATAAGCAATTATTTTTCAGCAATTACAATGATATCAAAATGTTCTAAAACCCAAAATCGATTTGCTTCTATAAATGAGAATAGCTTATTGAGTTATATTCTATGTTTCTAAAAGTTAAATACACATTGATTTATATATATATATATATATATATATATATATATATAAAATTCAAACGTGTTACAAAAATTAATTGTTGGTGCTTGAGATTTTAACTTAACACGAAAGGCTTGAGGATTTGGAATCGAGTCATATGGTTTGATCAACAGTTGTAGAGTTACGAGTTTCTAACGGGTTTGTTGCTAATAAAATTGATTAAAGTTCCAGAAAGACTGCATGATGTTTAAATTAAGTTTTTAATTAAATTACCAACTATCCAAAGAAAAAAAATATGTCCTTGGAAGATGAAGGCTTTCAACAAATCAATCATATGATTATATCATTCTTTTTCATTTTGTACGTCTTCTATTCATTTTTTCCCTGTAATTTAACACGATACATGATTGCAATTTCATCCTATAGACACCGAATG